TCCGAACTGATGAAATTAATTTAATAGCTACCACAAAAGTTTTACAAAAAATAATTTTCAAGCTTTGTACAGTTCTCACAACATGTATTGATTCTGGGTACTTTATGTGTTTTTGAAAATGATAAAGTTGCTTTTTTCGACTCCTACATGAGGGATTTTTTCAAAAATCATTTAGAAATATATTCGTTTGAAATCGATGTTAATTTGATTTCCAAATCAGGCACATATCTTCTATAATTATTTATTATAATTGGCTGTTTTTTACTATTAATATCACTGTATCTTTCCCTAACAAAACTCTACTTTGATCAACAGCTAGTCGTACTTTTCTGCCAACATTCTGAAATTTGATAATTTTAATTTTACATTACACATATTGGACGTAGCATTACACTCCAAACACAGATTTCTTATATTTATCATTTGCGATGTAAACAGTCATTATACTGTGCCCACCATTCCTTCAAATTTATTAACCATAAAAACTTCTTCTATATTGAACCTCCATGATCAGGTCTATGGCAGTAATTAAATTTTCAGCGAATTTTCTTGTTTTCTATATCTGAAGATTGTTTGAGATATTTTGGCAAAAATTTTGTATACTCACTGCATTTATTGGACCAGTGAAATTTAAATTTTGATAAAAGCTTTCTTCAGTATTATGTTTTCCTCTTCTTTTCGTGCAGTCCGCGTTTGGTGGCCTAGTTTTCGTGAGGCTGCTACGGATAGTGTTCCCGGATCTTATCCTTTCCGATAATCCTCTGATGGAGGGAAGTACAAGTACTGGTTGTGGCGGCGTATCTTCCTTGTGGAGCTCTTGCGGTCTTCTAGCTGAAGCCTGTTCTACCATCACTATGGAGTAACCATTCCGTTGAAGGTCATTTTTTATGATGCCTTGATGATATACCTCCTACAATTTGTCCCAGCTTTTAGTCATTTTGGTCATTTTTGATATTTGGCAATGTTTGTTAAGATATAATTCTAACGGTTGAATAGCGACAGTTTTATAGGGCTTTCGTTCACTTTTCTACCAAACATCATTGAAACGTGGAATGCTTTTTGAGTCCCACCAACAACATAAGCAAATGCTTATTTTTGAAAAGAACGGTTGGGTTGTCTTTAGTCAGCTTCTGTACATGCATGGTGGCTAACATTACTGGAGAAGACTATGTAACTCTCGACTGGAATTCAATTTAACTCTCCTGGGTGCATAACCTGATAGATAATTTAATGGAATAGGCCAAAAAGACACCCAATAATATATTTATTCAATCACAGTTAATAAAACGCAAGTACGTAAAATAGTCAATACTATTCAAAACTGTTCTCGACACCACCGAGTATAAGGTATAAAAGGAATAGATAGCGACCGTTGATTCAACTCCAATATATTATAGAATCACAAAGGAATTCTCATATAACAAGGTGCAACGAGATCACCTGTAACGTGAATATATGTGAAAAAATGTGATTGAAAATTCAAGAAGATCCCTAATCAATCAACAAATTATATGATCATCGATTAGGCTAGACAATCCTGATTTTTTCAGCGAGAAATATAATATGGAAATAAATATGACAGACGTACATTTACACTAACTACTACAATTCAGTGTAAGATTTTCACTATAAGGGTTTTATTAAAACCGCGGCACGCGTTTCGTTGGACTATAGCTTCCTCAAGCGGGAATGTTTAAATAGCTTACTTATATTTTACAACTATTGTATGTATGTATGTATGTATATATATACATTTATTTTTCATGTAGTCAGTACCAACAATGGGCGAGTGCGCCTCTGGATCTCGTTAGACCTCTACAATGACATCACAAGTTGAATGGAATTCATATAATAGGTATAACAATTATGCGCATTTTAACAGGTTCATAAACCAATCGGAACGTGACTTTTAATTGTCACCAAAGATAATTCGCAGCAGAAGTAAGGATGCTAAAATTTTTCATATCCGGTTTCAATGAAAGTCGGAACACAAAATCTTAAAATATACATGTTTATCTATCATTAAACATTTTTATACCTAACTTGTGGCCTCAAAGCTGATTTTCGCGATTTTTCTTGACAACTAGCAATAAATATATTGGTTTTGGCAAAATGCGTCTACATGGAGGCAAAGCAATAAATACTTGAGGGAAAGAATTCACAAAATTTTAGTCGACTTCTCTATTAAAATTCAAAACCAGGTATAATAGTCAGGTTTTCAAATCTAGCGCCAGATCTGACATGTTTTTGTACCCCACTTTGTACTGACGGTATTTGAAAATGTCTTATTAATAAAAATGAAAACAACTATCAAATTAATGTCGCCTCCGTTGAATTCAATTTTTTCGCATATTGCACTTTTCTTGTTCAAAAATTGACTGACTTTTCCACATCTTATCTTCTTCTTAAGATGTAATCTGCCTTGAAACTGCCATAGGGAGATATACAATGCGATAATACAATGCGAAATGTAAAACATAATATTGACCTATCTTAACTCCAAGCTACTCTGTTACTTTGAGTCATTTGGTAGGGGAACGTATTTCTTTTGTATTGTATTCTATTGTTTCAAATTGAAAAAACCTCATTTTCAAGAGAAAATACTTTTTCAAAAAGATTATCTAATTATGTTCGATTCTGCTACATCTTGCACTGGTCGTTCTTCTGCGCTATTTGTTTTTTGGTATTCTTAGTGGCAACCAGAATTTCTGAATTTTTGTAAGTAAAGGTTTTGTTCATTCATTTGTACTTCCTATACTTGTGCAGTTGAAATGGCCGAACATATTTTGAATTATAAAAAAAGTGTTAGTCGATTCAAATACCACTGTCGATTTAGATACAAGCGTCATTCCCTTGTTCTTGAACATCGAGGTACTCAAGCGTCTTTAAGGAATAATCTTGATTCCTTGAAAGTTTGATGTACTTAGTGTGTAGGATTTCACCTGCATAGATACTTTAGCAGCTTTTTATAAGAGCAAATCAATTGAATGTTCTACAGCTGATATTGTCATTGAAAAAGGCTATTTTACAAATATTGATGATGATGATGAAAATTAAGTATATCTTTTGCCTTCTATTTGGTGAAAGCTCTGTGGAATGATTCTTTTGTCTTGTATTTGGTGAAAGCTCTGTGGAAACTTATGATTTATATGGAGATTGTGTCAAAAAAAGGAATGAGTCAAGATCCTCTTTCCTCAAAAAGAATTAGCACGCTATATAATAAGGTGCTGCTGCTGCTATGAAGACTGCTAATTCGCTTCTTCAGCCTACCTGGTTACACTTCTATGGCAAGTTTAAGACAGTGTGACTGATGTACATAGAAATAATTTGGGGCACTCTATGAAGTTATCTCTGAATAAAAGTGGTTGAATAGCGTTTTACAACAACTGATTATGACATAATGTTTCAAGTTAATGTAAATTGGAAGATATTTAGGGTTCTTCATAGCCTTTTGAAGAAAAGACTTGCCGTTTCGCCAGTGGAAATGATGGATGTGTATTGCAGTGCCCGTGCTGCCTTTATTAATATCAGAACGACTTTAATTATTGGCGTTGTTGATCCATCTGTGCTTCATTTCAGTGAAGTTATGAAGCATATTTGACGAATGTTTTACTTTGAATGGGCATAATTTCAAATTGTCTGTAGTGATATTTTATCATAGATAAAGTTTCAATTTCGGTCATTATTATACTTTGGCGTTGGAAAGTACAGACTGGTTCCAGTTGAATGATACTTTATAAAACTAATCTGAAGTTATAGTTCAATTGAATCTCTAAATATTTTCCTTAACGACAGACAGTAGTTTTCTTTGCAGCTTTGGTGCTCGAAATGAAAGCACTATGTGGAGAACGACACTCTGGATTGTTTATTTAGTTCTTTTTAATGTCACTTTTTCAAAATGTCAAAATCGCTGTATTACACTTTTATCAGTTTCAGGCAAGTTGACAAAAATTTGTTGAATGAAAAACTGTTATTTCATGGAGCTAGTTCTATTATCTATTCAAAAAGATTTATACAATGTGTAAACATTACCAAGCGAGGTAATTATATATCAATATATCTTGGAATAAAAAAAAATTATGAATTCTTTTCTTTATGTCAATATGGTCACGTGCAGTTTGAAAATCAAGTACCTACCTAGACCTGGGTGATAGAGGTGTCAATTTAGTTTTTATCTGAACTGAACATGCGAACACATTTTCAAAGCTACAATGATAATTTTGTCAAAGAAAAACCTACGAAAAACTACGATTGTAAACATAATAAGCAAATGATTATCACTTAAAAAGATAGATAAATTATCAAATGTCTACCCGGGATGTTCCCAGTCACTGTAAAAACCCCGCCAGAATTCCTGCAACCCACATGGCGCTACAACATGCTCCATCTGTTGCGTCCGTGCTGCAGTTTCGAGTTCGAAAAATGAGTTCTTCACTAATTATTGTTTATATTGCTACCGAGAGATTTTGTTTTATTCTCATTCGTCGCAGATATGTGATACAACCTGTTTTGCTACCGGCTAAAGATGAAGATTAATGCTGATACAAGTTTCGTAGCAAAAATATTGCAGATATGAAGAGGGAACAAGTGGGCAGACCAGCATTTTAATGAAATTCATATGCAACAGAATATTCGCGCTATTCGCTGCATTCGTCGAAAAAAACATAAATATTGTCGTCGATTTTCCTATCTGGCGCGCTCGACAAGGGTCACAGGTCGCAGGATAGCCAACCGGGGATATTGATATAAAAAGAGAGTAAATAAGCCTATTCTGATCCTAATTGAGTTACAGATTTGAATTACATGTTTGAATAGTTGACCTCTATTGGCCTTTTGCAGTCTTTGCGTAAAGACCTTCAATGTCAACAGTAAAACGGTTTTGAAGGCCACTTAGCACGTTAATAAATGCATTAGGGAGCAGAATCAGTCTAACCTATATGTAGCAATATTGAAATGAACGAAAGATGCCAAAACAGAACAGAAGAAAATTTCAAACTTACGCCGAATTTAGCGTAGCACAATGCACTAAATCAATCACAAAACATAAGACAGTTCGAGACACTTGCGCGAATACATGACACTACTAGCCAAGTTACAAGTGCACTGATCCCCCCCCCGCTTCACTGATAGCGCCGCTCCGACAAGCACCCACCGTGACGTCAACCGCTATTGATTCTACTCCACCAAACAGCAATGGCGAATTCGAAATGAATTGGATTGGCAACAATCGACAATTACGGTTCACTTATCGTCCGCGAATGTTGTGCAAACTTTTCCGAAATATAACCACCTTGCGCTGTGAACTATGTCCACTTTTTTAATGCCTAACCAATGCTTAACGAAGTCGCAGAGCCTCCCGGTGATGTCATTATGACATCACATTTAACTAGCTAGAGGCAAAAATAAGACCTTGATTCTTGTTGCTGTTGGGAACCTTTCCGCTTCTAGTATTTGTTTGCTGACAAACGAAACCGAATGGCTGTCAATACAACACTTTCTTTGTAAATCACGACGCGAGCTAGTTATCAAAATATTCAAAATGCTGTTTCTTCGCGTTCTGTATAGATGGCACATCAGATTCGATTGCAGATTCGAATAGGTCAACAAGTGAATAATCAACAAGTTGCCATTCCAATTCATGTGACAACGGCACGCCGGATATTCGTATCGCCGCCAGAAACTCGGCAACCAGTTGTACAAAGTCGGCTTTTTGTCAATAATATGGAAGTCATGTCTACACTTCCAGGGCACCGTTGCCAGATTTATTTTTTATCAGCAGACTCGAAGTACCTGCAGTTTTCTGATAACATTCTTGAGTTAGCGATAAGAAGTGGCGCACAGGACCGGCTTTCTAAGTGATATGCGATATAAACAAATTGACTGAAAAAAATCCTATATGTTGCGTCACTGACAACGCCCATCCTCGTTAATGAGAAACGTTATATGTATCTAGAAGACATTGAAGAAATTTCAGCTTGAGGGCAGTAAAATTAGTATTCATTGGAAAATGTCATCACTCGTTTTTCTCATCCATTCGCTGTACATTCAGGTCAGAATTTTCGTTAATATGAAGTGAACGTCGATAACAAATTATATTTCTCGTTCTGTAAGATACCTTGTAAATGTAGTATGCCCACCTCGGCAGCTTGTAGTACTTCGTATCTTTAGCATTCCTTTTAGTACACGTTACAAAAATATGTATACCTAAGTATGTAAAACTAATACTGATAGACTAAGTAGTTAAAAAAACTTCGGCAAATTTGCTAATGTTTTACCTTGAGGTTCAAGCACAATTTATATCTCGAACATACATTATAAGTTTGTTATTATAAACTGAAATAAAGTAATTCTAGTTTTTTTTAGATTTTCTAATAATACGTATTCATACAAGTATAAATACAATAACAGGTTACCTGATGACAATTTAATACTATCCATGATAGTAAGTATACAATTTTTAAAATAAATTTTATATAAAACTCGTTCCACTACACGGTAGCTTCATCAGTTGGACTAATATTTATAAAAGCAATCTGGATCCCAAAGCCAGTAGCAATATTAATTTCTCAAAGTTTACATTATTCTTAGATTACTTTTTTTTGTCATGTTCGGTGGTTTTAAATGGCAACGTTGAAGTTAATAGCGGAAACAAATGTTGGTATGGTACAAGACAACACAAATTCGACCCTAAAGTCTTCAACGTGATATTTCTCTGAATGGATCCCACGTTTATTTTCTTACAATTTGAGACCATGTGGTGGTTTACCCGAACCCATATGTAAGTGCGCTTTGATACGACCTACAGGCTCGTCTTTGCCCTAAATGACAAAAATGTTCTTGCAACTTTTTGAAACAGATTCCCGCTTTCAAATAGGAGCTGTTTCTATACACATTACATGGATTGAAAAAATAATTTGAAGGGTATCATAAACTTCAATTACTGTGCGCGTGAACAAATTGATTGAGTCAGCAAAAAATGACTCTTAGTGTAACACTCGTTTCAAAGACGTTTATATCCGTTATGAATATCATTTTTATGGGACAAGCTGGTTATGAAAGAATAAAAAAAATCTCCTGTTCTATCAAAAGTTACTTCGTTTTTTTAAGTACAAAACATAAGCACTACAGGAAAACCCTTGAAGCGCTCTAAGAACGCTTCATGGATTTGAATCGCTGGAGATTTTCCAAAAACGTTCTTGGGAAGTTGATTCCACATGAACGCAGTTCCCCACATGAAAGAGTTCTTAAACAGTGAACTTCGAGGTGTACTGAGTTGAACCTCAAAACGATGAGAACCCACAGTCCGTCGCGTATTTCTGATATGTATCGCTCTTGGTAGAATTGAATGTGCCAAGTCACTTGAACACTTCCCGTGAGAATATCTATAGAAGAGAGACAAATCTCCAAACTTTCTTCGATGTTCCAGGCTATCAAGGTTCCACGTGATGTTCGCGTCTCCAATCAGGCGGATGGCTCTTTTCTAGATGGAATCCAGTAGCTTCAGGGTATGCTTGTAGGCGGAGCACCATACATGAGAACAATACTCCAAAGAAGGTCCGATCTGGGCTTCATAAAGCATCAAAAGTTGCTGAGGTGTGTATAGTTTTTTGGTTCGGAACAGTATTCCAAGCTTTTCAGAAGCAGCCTTCGCAATTCCAGCGACATGATTATGCCAAGAAATAATGGTGTCCATTTTAACCCCCAACAAGTTTATCGAAACAGAAAGCGGAATTGTCTGACCTGTTATTATTATATCCGGTTACGGCTTTCTCCATGATTTTTTATATCACTGATAGTAAAGCCACTGGTCTAAAGTTACTTGGAAGAATTTTCTTGTCTATTCTGGTAATGGGCTGAAAGCGAGCAGTCTTCCAACAAAAAGTACAAACCCCTTTTCCTTATAAGACAACTTGAAAAGTTTGCAAAATACTGATGCGAGTTCATTTGCGCACTTTTTAAGTACGATGACGGGCACCACATCAGGACCAGACGCCTTGTTGATATTGAGCTGTTTTAAAATTCGCCCGACAAGACTTTGTCGAAAAGTAATTTCCGGCATTGTGGATCCAAGTGTGGGAATAGTGGGTGGTGGCTTTCCCAGAAAATCACTGTGTAGTGGGACGCACATTGTTCAGCTAGTAGATTTGCTTTTTCTATGGCTGTTGTTGCAATTGAACCATCCGCTTGTGTTAGTTGTGGAACTGTGGACTTTGTGAAGTTCTGATTAACAGCTTCAACTAATGACCAGAAGGATCTAAACCCGTTGAGAATGGCAAGCAGTTTATCCCTAATTCTCTGATTGAGCCATTCGATATTGTGGACATTGAAGTCACTGAATATGGAAATTTCGGCACTGGGGTGATTGATTTTGTAGAAAGTCAATGGTGTTAGCAAGTGAAGAGAATAGTGCCCTATATCGTGTATCGCTTGGTGGTTGATAAACGCAGCATATGAATTTAATGATCTTCTGTGAATTATTTTAAACCACATAACATCAATGTTTTGGGATTTCAGCATTTTCTCTCGTTGACAGAGTCAACTAATAGTCACCAAAGTGTTTTTTTATGGTGAAAAGGAGCTTCAAAGTGTGTTTTGGGTGTTGAACCTCACACATGAGAGAACTGTACTCGTATCAAGAAGATATTATATACGTGAAGCAGAAGTAAGGTCGCTCTAAGAATTAATCCATGTGGATCATTGATGACTTTCACTCCTGAATAAGATGAAAGCATTCTCCTCGAACAGCAAACCAGGAATAGCAGACCATGTTTGGACCCATCAACACAACATCGAGTGGTCCCAAGCTGAGATCATACACAGAGAGGAACATTGGTTTAGGAGAAAATTCAAGGAAGCCGCATACATGCTGTCCAACAACGTATTCAGCCAAGCTACCGTAGATACACGCAATATATGGAAACCCATCATCAAGCGAAAAATGGCCAACCCCCGCCAAACGGTCATCTCCCACTGAACCAGTGAAGCGGAAAAATGGAAAGTGGGGATAAGTGAAAGTACTCGAATGACCCATAAATAGTCATCTTTCGGAGGAATCAGTCCAGTCATCACCCGAAGACGATTGTAGATACTAACAATCGAAACATCGTGAACTAAAGTGTCTTGGAATCTCTTAACTTTTTTATGTATGTTTAGTTGTATTTCTTTATTTTTTGTTCAATCGTTTTAATTTTACTTGTATTTTATTTCACTATTATTTCATTTCCGGTTATTTTTGCTTGATATAACTTGGGTATAACTGTCTGATTCCTGGAATTGCGCTGAGAAAATCGGTGATAATAACAGAGTTGCCTTCCAGTCTTTCACAGTGTGCTACGGCTTGATCTATGGCGTATAACTCACCTGTAAAAAACACTACAGATTGATCGAAGACGGTAGGCAAGCTTCGTATCTCTTGTAATGACAGCTGCTCCCACACAATCAGAAGATTTCGAAGCATCTGTGTATAAGTGATTGTATTCCTTGTAGTTGGAGATTATTTCAGAGAAAGTTTTTTGGATAAAACTTGGTGTGATATCATTTTTCCTGTGGGTGGAGAGTTGGGTGTTACAGGATGGGATCTTTATGGTCCATGGTGGTGGAGAGTAGAAACCAAGTGACATGACATTATTAGGGACTACAGGATTATTAGGAATTTTTGACATTTTTGCGTAGAGTGGTAAAGCACCTTTATTACTTTGATTGAAAAGAAGGGGAAATCTGTTACTGAAGGTATACTGATAGGCGGGGTTGTTTATCTTATCGGAAATTCTTACAGCATACGTCATTATCATGTATTCACGGCGAAGTTCGAGGGGCTGTTCTCCTGCTTCGATAAGTAAACTTTCCACTGGGCTACTACGGTATGCTCCTAAAGCTATCCTAATGACGGCATGTTGAATGACATTCAGCTGTTTAAGAGCTGACTTATTTGCAGTAGAGTAGGCAATACATCCATAGTCTATTTTAGATCTTATTAGCGCCCGATAGATGGTCAACAAAGTATTGCAGTCCGCTCCCCAGGTGTGATTTGACAAGACCTTCATTAGATTCAAACCATTTTGACAGGATTTCTAACTGCTGTTCATTAAGTGTAAAGTTTGGGAAACTAGTTGCTTGCTGTTTGGAAAATAGGAGGCATTTGGTCTTCGCTGGTGAAAATTGGAAACCTGTATTGAGGGACCATAATTCCAGACTTGATATCGCCTCCTGAAGAAGTGACTCCAATGTGTTTATATTTCTGCCACTGACAAATAGGACTAGGTCATCCGCGTATAGCAGCCCTTTGACTGGGGATTTGATATTCTTTAAAATGTCGTTGATGGTTAAGAGGAAGAGGGTGCCGCTGAGTGATGATCCCTGAGGGGTTCCGTTTTTGAGGTACTTTTTCTCAGTGTTTATGCCATTAGCTCTCACAGAAAAGGATCTATTTTTCAAGAAATTTTCTATAAAAGCAAGTAGATTTCCTTGGATATGCCAATTTTTCATCTGTTCCGATATGTTGCGGTTCCAAACTGTATTGAATGCTCGACGAATATCGAAAAAGATGGCTATAACCTTGTGACGATTTGCGAAGGACTCGTGTATGGCTGACTGAAGGATAACCAGATTGTCTGTTGTTGAGCGGTTTTTTCGAAATCCACTTTGTTGGGGAATTATCAGGTTATTCTGCTCGAGAAAAAACTATAGTCTAGCGTTCAAAATCTTTTCCAATACCTTACACATGGTGGAGATGAGGGAAATAGGTCTATATGAGTCGGGATCAGATGGAGATTCATTCTGTTTCAGAAGATGCAATACAATAGAATTAGACCAAGATGTGGGAAGTTGTCTGGTGCGGTATAAAGTGTTGTAAATCCCTAGGAGATGGAGTTTGCCGGATTGTGGCAGTTTCGTGATAAATATATGTCATCTGGTCCCGGTGTATGGCCTTTCACTTTAGACAATGTCTCTTCGAGTTCATCCATGGTTATATAGATGTTTGGTAAATTTTCATCGTCGTCTTCAATTACAAAAGGATTGGAGTCTATGACTTCCCTTCTTTCCAAAAAGTTAATATCGTAGTTGACGTCACTAGACTGTTGCTGGAATTTGATAGCTAGAATGTTAGCAATCTCGCGACTATTTGATACGACTATATCGTCATCAATAAGGGAGGAAATGTGATTTCCTTTTGACCTTCGGATCCTGTTTATTTTTCCCCATACTTCAGCTATTGAAGTTTGCTGGTACAAAGTGTTCACATAATTTTTCCAAGATTCTCGTTTGCTTTGCTTTAGAAAAAATCGTTG